CTTAATATTCTTTCTTTATTCTGTATGTTTATTGTTTTGATTATTATGTGGCAAGGGGATTTTTTGGTCCAATCTATTTGGTGTTCTGTAAGCTTCTTATATTTCCATAGGCATGTCTTTCTTTAGGTTGGGGGAGTTTCTTCTGTGATTTTGTTGAATATATTTTCTGTGCCTTTAAGTTGGACTTCTCCTGCTTCTATCCCTATCATTCTTAGGTTTGGTCTTTTCATGGTGTCCCAGATTACCTGCATGTTTTGTGTTAAGGATTTGTTGGATTTAAAATTTTCTTTTGACTGATGAATCTATTTCCTCCAAGTTATCTTCAGTGCCTGAAATTCTCTCTTCCATCTCTTGTAGTCTGTTGCTTATGCTTGCATTTGTGGATCCTGATTGCTTACCCAGATTTTCCATTTCCAGAATTCCCTTGGTTTGTGTTTTCTTTATTGTCTCTATTTCAGATTTCATGTCTTGAATAGTTTCCTTCACTTGTTTGATTGCTTTTTCTTGTATTTTTTCTAAGGGATTTGTTGATATCTTCCAATTTTTTGTTTGTCTTTTCCTCCATATTTTAAGAGAAATTTTCATTTCCTCTTTAAGGGCCTCAATCATCCTCATAAAGTTATTTTTAGGTCATTTTGTTCTACTTCATCTGTTTTGGGATGTTCAGGTCTTGCTGTTGTAGCACCACTAGTTTATAGTGGTGCCAGATTGCCCTATATATTGCTGAGTGTGTTCTTATCTTGTCTATGAATCTCTTCCACTAATCGGTATAGGTGGAGCTTGTTCTTCAGGGTCTCTCTTTCTCCAATTGGTATAGTTGGGGCCTGTGGCTCCATTGACTGCTCCTTCAGGCACAAGTAGAGCAGAGTTTCTGGTGAATGTTCTTCCTGGTGGAAGTGGGTCCAATGCTCAGGCGGTCACTCTTCAAGGTGCAGGTGGGAATACAGTTCTGTTGGATGCTCCTCCTGTTGGAGGTGTAGATGGGGCTGAGTCGATGTATTAGCAGGGTTTCTCCTACCCAGAAATGGCAGTGGATGCTGGCTTGGACACAGGTGATCTTTCCCAGAGGAACTTTTGGCAATACCTGACTCCGTATTGGTAATTTCCCACTATAACTTTTTGCAATAGTTTCTGGAAGCTACTGCTGGAAGGTGCTGCTGTTGCTTCACCTGGTGATCACTCCTCGATCCTGGGGCTGGGGCTGAAGCCCCCCTCTGACACTGCTCCTGGTTCTGAGGGTCCTGTCTCCCTTGACGTTGCTCTGGGCCTGAAGCTCTGACCTTCCTCCGACACTGCTTCCAGGCTGGAATTCAGGCATCTCACACACAATTGGGAATTCTTAAAGGGAGAAATTAGTTAAATGAGACACCTTTTCCCACATTGAAAAAATGGGAAACACTATTACAATGTAGGGCTTTAGGTCTCTGTATGATAATATGCTGGACATTTTGAAAATGGAACAATTACATGAGAGGATAGTTAATTTAGGTGGGACTAATATAATGTCAATTATAAACATCAGTTTCATCATTTTTGTTTTTTCACCAACAAAGTTGGTTATTATGAGTACAAAGATACAAGTTTTAGAAAAACTTAACAAAACAGATCATAGAGCTATTCAGAACCAGACAGAGGAATTTAATGGAGAAGCAATTTCAACATTGCATTATAGGGTTAGAGAGGAACAGCCTGAGAGTTTAAAACAACCAATTTTGATTTATACAGTCACCTTACAGGGACATTTGATCAACTATGTTCATAGCAGCATTATTTGTAATATCCAGAATCTGGAAACAACCTAGATGCTCATCAACTAAAGAATGGATGGAGAAAATGCAGTACACAATGGAGTACTACTCCATGGTAAAAACAAAACAAAACAAAAACAATGACATCTTGAAATTTGCAGCCAAATGGATGGAACTAGAAAAAAAAAACATCCTGAGTGAGATAACCCAGACCCAGAAAGACAAACATGATATGTACTCACTAATAAGTAGATATTAGATGTAAAGCAAAGGATAACCAAGCTATGGAGTTAGGGAGAAACCTGGTACTAGAGGAATTCTCAGGAAACAACAAGGATGACCCCAGCTGAGACTCCTAGCAATAAGGAGACAGTGTCTGAATATACCTTCCCCTTTAATCAGATTAGTGACTGCCCTAGTTGTCATCATAGAGCCTATATCCAGTAACTGATGGAAGCAGATGCAGTGACCCACAGCCAAGCACTGGACTGAGGTCCTGGAGTTCAGTTGAAGAGAGGGAGGAGGGATCATATGAACAAGGGAGGTCAAGAGCATGATGGGGAAAACCACAGAGACGGCTGACCTGAGCTTGTGGGAGCTCACGGACTGTGGACTGACATCTAGGGAACCTGCATGGGACCAAACTAGACCCCCTGAATGTGGGTAACAGTTATGTGACTTGATCTGTTTCAGGGGGTCCTGGCAGTGGCCCCAGGACCTAACCCAGGGACATGAACTGGCTTTTTGGAGCCCTGGTGGGATACCTTGCTCAGCCTTGATATACGGGACAGGGGCAGGGGGACTTAATCCTCCCTAAACTTGGTATGTCAGACTTTGACTCCCAAAATAAGGCCTTACCCAATCTGAAGAGTGGATGGGGGTGTGAGGAGGAAGAGGGACCAGGAGAAGGGGAGGGAGGGAAAATGGGGTTGATAATGTAAAATAAAAAATAATTTTTTAAAATAAAAGACAATTAGCAAATGACAATGACTATACTTGGCATTATCTAAATCCCAGCTAAACTGTTTATCTCTTCATTTAATTGTTCCATTTTTAAAACCAGCCATTATGGAACTATACAGAGACTTCATTTACTGCATCATGATATTATTTTTAAACCCCCATTTTCTTTCATTTTTTTCTAGTCTAATTTCCCCCTTTAAGAATTCCTAGTTGTCTCACCAAATCTGCTGACAATGACAGTGAAGTGTGAGGCTGACTGTCACTTTGTAGCATGGTTGGGCAGAGTGCACAGGTGGTGCACAACCTGGCTGAGGGTGGCTAGGTTGCTCACATGTAGCTGTGAGCTGAGTGTGTGTGGTGGTTACAACAACAGAAGTCGGAGTGTGTGTTGAGGCCACCCATATAGCTGGGGTTCCAGGGGAAGCCTGCAACCAATGGTGAGAAGAAGCCAGCTGTCTGAAAGCAGACCCAGATGAACACGTGGAAGAAGCACAGGGGGCAGGAGCTGCCTGGGCGCAGAGCCAGCCAGTGGTGGGTGCTTAACTCCTTTTGGAGCCCAGGCACCCCTGGAGTTTGGGGACTGTGGAGTTTGGGTGGCAGCTGGAGACAATTGTAGAGAGGCTACAACAGGAATATCCCAGGTTCACTCAGAGGGCAAGAAAGGAGAAGCCAGCCAGAGGCCAGGCTGCTGCTCCAACTGCTGTGGCTGTGTTAGCTGCAAAGCCAGGAGTGAGTGGCTACATTGTGGTTTAGTGCTCTGAGTTGGACACCAGGACACCAATAAAAATTTGGGAGACAGATATAGGGGAAAGAACCTGAATGATCAGAGAAGTTGCAGAGAAGGCACCAGTGATTGCCTGACTTTTCCATTCCTCCACCCAAAAGGGCTGAGACCCTCTCTCAGCCCCACCTTTCTACTTCCTGTCTCCTATCTGTCTTCAGTCCTCCAGAACCTCAATGGTTAACTTTGGTCAGCTAGTGTAGTGGCTAGCTCCATCCTCTGACTTGAAACGAGCTTTATTGTCAGAATGCCATCAAAATATCACACACTGCACAGCCTTCATGTGCACCACTTCCCTAGATGGCAAGCAGTGCTTATGTGGCATGTGCTCACTTCCATGGCTGACCCATGGGGAATTACATAGTGAGTATCCTCTTGTGGTATGTTCAGTATGCTATTCAAACTCAATAGAAACTACTTCTGTCTTCAGTTACTTTCTGCTGTAAGTCCTACAAGTAGCTGCTAGAAACAGTGGGTGTTTTCCTTTATCTTGGGTCTCCCTCAGTTTGGTCTTCTCTCTGGAGTACTGCTTTCTGCCATAAATATAAAAAAGGTATTCTTTAGATTTCTTTTATGCATGGGCCTTTTGTCTACATGTTATTTAAGCATGTATTCCACATGTGTGTGTGTGATGCCCACAAAGATCAGAAAAGGGTGTCAGGTTGCCTGGAACTGGAGTCACAGATGCTTGTGAACCACCATAGGGGTGCTGGGAACTGAACCTGGGTCCCCTGGAACAGCAGCCAGTACTCTTAACCGATGAACTACCTCTCTAGATCCTCTACCTCAAATTTTTAAGATTTTCTCTTTAAGCTTTCTCTCTTATGTTTGGCTAAAGTCTTATTATGTATATGTATGTTTTTCTGTGTGGGTGCTGTGAATTGAGTGTAGTTGCATGTGGAGGCCTGCAGAGGCCCATGGGGTGGAGCTGGGGGGTCCTCTCAAAGTGCAGGATGCTTTCACCACAGAGCCATCTCTCTAGTCCCCTTCAAAACACAGCCTTTGTCTGTGGACTCCATTTTTGAATTCCCGAGACAAGAACCTGGAGCTAACTGCTGTGCTATGCACATCTGCGATGAGAAGGTTGGCCATGCACGTAGAAGAACACTACTTGTTTGTTTCTCTATTTCAGGCTTAGGACTCCAGGCTCCTCTTTACAGATCTCCTCCCTTAGATGTCTGCTGGACTCTGCACTTTCCCTCGGGAGGATGACTCCCTTCCAGGGTGGCTAGACCATCTAGGGCAGTGCTTCTCAACTTGTGGGTCAGGATCCCTTGGGGGCCTTGCCATCAACACTGAAATTTATAGGGGGTTCAGTGGGATGAAGAGGACTGGAAATTATTGTCCAGCTTTCAGTATAAAATCCGTTTTAAAGAGCAATTTACTTTCCAAGAGGTGTTTATTAATAGCAAAGGAAAGTAGGCTAGAAAGCCAAGAAGGGGACAGTGTAGAAAGGCCAGGCCACAAGCTAGCTGCCATTCCTGACCATTCCTGCCATTGCTGTCCATTTACTTCTTCTTCTCCCTCCTCCTCCTCTCCTTTTCTTCATTCTCAAACTCCTCATTTGCCTTTCGGATTCGCATCTCTTCTTCTTTGGTAATTGTCTCCATCAGTACAGAGAGGATTCTGTGTCCCACGGCAGACTTCGGGATCTTCTTGCCTTTGAGGTGTTTCTTTTGAAGATACAGGTCCACAAGAGCCAAAATCGCACTAATTACCATAAGGATCTAGGAAAACAAATGGATCTTCATTATTTTGATTATGAACCTAGAAGGAAAGCTCAGATTCCCTTCCTGATCTATCATCAGAGGTGATGCACAGTGTACCCCTAAAGGACTCAATCCCAGACCCTCCCTCAGTCTGCCCCCATGGCTTCATGCCCAGTGTCACCTCATCTTGTTTCCCTTTCCTTTCTTTTGACATACATGAGGGTCACAGGTAACTTGGATGCCTTCCTAGACACCATCTTTAAAAATGTTTCTTCACCATTAAAAACAGTTACCAGCTTCTTAAATTTGCTTTCACTCTGAGTTTTGTTTCTTTGTTTGTCTCATGTACCGGAGGCTGGCTTTGAACTCACTTATCGAGCCAAGGATGACTTAGGACTTTGGATCCTCTGCCTCTGCATCCTGAGTGCCACATTATAGATAGGCATCAGGTACTACAGTAGATTTTTATGGTGCCATAGATGAGGCTAGACCAGCCCTCCAGAGACTCAGCTGCAACCCAGGCCTGGTCCCAGGATTTATGTGAAAGTGATTTGAGGAAATCCACAGCTCAGCAGAAACATCTCACCACAGCTCCTATGTAGGGCGGTGGCATCACTCGCCTAACTTTTGCAGCAAAGATTATGCCGCCTATCATGAACACGAAGATGAAGAGGTCATTGAGGATTTCCTGAAAGTGGGAGAGAAGAGCTGGTCTTAGTAGCTGTGCCCCATCCACCCCAGACACAGTGCAGTTTCCTCCATGAAACCATGTTCAAATGCCACCCCCAACCCTGGATAATTTAAAACAAAATATACAAAGGCAAATATGTTTCTGGCCAAGCAGATCAGCCAGTGCCTCCCTGCTGGCCTTTGTGAGTGTAGAATGCAGTCCAAACTAAACTGCTACCATCTGGCTTACAATACCAGGTATCTGGTGCCTATCCATATTCATGTAAATAAATGCAGAAACCCACTACTTCATAGTATCTGTTAGTTACTTCCCATCACCATTTCTGTACTCTCCTCTATGGAGTTTCCATCAGCAGAATTGCAAGTAGGAGGTTCTTGCTCTCTGACTTAACTTTGGGAGCCTTGCAGCTCCCTTCTTCACCCCAACCCTGCCTTACCCCCTGTACCTCCTTCCCTGATTGCTTCCTCCTTCATCAATGCTTTTTCTTTTCATTCCTTGGGGATTTGGTCTTCATTTACCACATACAAGCTTTCTTCCCCCAACAGAGCATAAAAGCAACCAAAATTCTATATATTTTATATTTTACTTGTTTTTTTCCTTAGAATGTCTAAATTTTAAGTTGTGTTTAATTTTATTGGGATGTACAATCTCTCCTGCCAATATCCCTATGTCCTCTCATTTAAAATTCTGTCCAACTGTCTTATAAAAACCTTTTGCTTATTTTTATTTTATGAGTATGAGTGTATTGTCTGCATGTAGGAAATCATACCAAATGTGTGTAGTGTCCGAGAACACCAGAGACAGCAATGGATTCCCTGGAACTAGAGTTTGTGGAATATTTGGGGTCTGGGAACCCAACCTGAGTTGTGGTGATATATTATTTATGATTTATTAAATCTTGCCCAAGGATTCCGAGAGTATAGCCAGCCTCAAGCCACAGAGATCAGGTAGTGTTGGTTCACACCTTCAATGCCAGGACTCAGGATAAAGAGGTAGATGGATGTCTTTGAATTGAAGGCCACCCAGTGTTACAGGAGATTGAATCAGTCTAAAAGTGTAATAGAGCTCACTCCTTTAATCCCAGCACTAGAGAGGTATAAAAGATAGGAGCAGAGTCTTCAGTTGTCAGTCTCGGTGGTCTCTAGCCATGTTGAGAGTATGGCAGTCTGAGTGAATCTGAGGAGGAGTGAAGTCAGGAGCAGTCTGAGGATTGCCCCTTTGGTCGGAGCATTGGTAGAGGTGAGAACTCTTTCCTGGCTGGCCCCCTTTCCTCCCCCATCTTCAGCTTGAATCTTGAAACCCAATACCACTTTCTGGGTCTTTTATTGTGCTACACAGTCTTCTACAGGAGCAGTCAGTGCTGAACAGTTGTTCAGCTAACACTCAAGCTGCTGTCCCGGTGTTTTCAATGCTACCTCTGTCATATATAAGTCACATTGTGTATATAAGTCTGAATTTTCTGATCTCCTACTTTAGCACACCATTATAAAATACAATAGACTGGGTGGCTTGAAAAACAGATGTTTATCCTCTCACAGTGTAGGGACTTGAAGACCAAGAGCACTCTCCCTGACTGTAGACACCTGCCCTTACCTCTCTATCTTCATATGACCTTTCATTGGAGACAGGTCATATAACTTGTCTCTTCCTGTAATGCTAATTGTTTTGGATCAGGGTCCCAACCTTAAGTTTTCTGCTTATTTTTAGTTGCTTCCTCAAAGGCCCCATCTCAGTGTATGAATCCAAAGAGAACACAAACATTCCATTTGTAACAATTCCATTAGTTAATCCATGATCTAGCACCAAAACTTAGGGTAAATCTGGTATCTGATTGGGCAAATCCATTCTTGTACTTTTTCATTTTTCCAAAGAATTTTATTTGTAATGTTTTTATTAGCTCATGTTTGTTACACATAATGATGGGTTCATTATATTTTATTTAGTAATTTATTTATTTTTATTTTATTTGCTTTTGTGTTTTACCTGCATGTATGTCTGTGTGAGGGTGTCAGATTTTGGAGTTACAGTTTTAGCTGTCATGTAGATGCAGGGAATCAAACCTGGTTCCTCTGGAAGAGCCTTCAGTGCTCTTAACCACTAAGCCATCTCTCCAGCCCCCTTTTTATGTTTTTATACATGTATATCAAGTGATCAATCCCATTATCCCCCACCCCTGTCACCTTCTCTTTGTCTTTGTACTCTCTCTCTCTCTCTCTCTCTCTCTCTCTGTGTGTGTGTGTGTGTGTGTGTGTGTGTGTGTGTCTGTGCATGAGCACGTGTTTGTGTCCCAGTGAGATTCACTGTGGTCATTTTGGGGAGCATGGTGAGGATTTGTATACAGAAGTACAGGCTCCTTATCAGTCGCTACACTACTGAAGAAAGATGTCTCTCTTTTTTGCATCAGTCTTTGACTACATATAAATCTTTGGCCAGAGGACATGAGCCTCTGCACCTTCCAGGAAGGGAGTTAATGAGCCAAATCTTGTTTATGCAATCACAGCTGTTGTGAATTCAAGAGTGTAACAGCCACTTTGATCATGTCTAGAAGTCAGACATGAACGTTGCAAAATGTTCCTAGAGCCTTGGCCAGGGGAACATGTGATGGAGGATGTTCTTCTGTATGCTGTACATATATGTTTATTTTATTGGTTGATGAATAATTCAGTTTTGGCCAATGGACAGGCAGGATGTAGCCAGGCAAGAAATCCAAACCAGGATAGAGAAAGTAAGCAGACAGAGTCAAAGAGATGAGATGCCAAGTAGCTGCCAAGGAGGCAAAAGACCCGGGTGTCATCTCTAAGCCGAGACTACATGAAGATAAACAGATTAATAGAAATGGGTTAATAATTAGGAGAGATCTAGTCATCAGAAGCCTGAGCCATGGAACAAACAGTTATAATTAACATAATCATCTCTGTGTTTATTTGGGAATAAATGGTTGCAGGACCAGGTGGGACAGAAACTTCCATATACATATGGCTCCCAATGTGGGGCTCAAATTTACAACAGCTTTAAAAGTATTCTGAACCAACTGAAGCACAGCTTCTTGGTAGCAGCATTTTCTCAGGTGTGCTCTGTTTGCTACAGGTGAGCAGAAGTACAGCTCCTTTAAGAGAGGCCTCCTGACTCAGTGTTAGCAGTAAAAACTTCTGGGCTCTTTTAACAGGCCCTACTACCATACACCTAAATGGTGTTTATGAACATGCTTCTTTTTTTTTTTTTGCTATTTTCTTTTTCTTATTTACTGGATTTTATTTGAATTAGAAACAAGATTGTTTTACATGTCAATCCCAGTTCCCTCTCCCTCCCCTCCTTCCCTACCACCTCTCCCCAACTAAAACCCTACCTATCACATATCCTTTCTCTTCCCCAGGGAGGGTGAGGCCTTCCATAGGGGGTCATCAGAGTTATGAGCATGCTTCTTGGTGGTGACATGGATGTAGAAACTCTGCAGAGTTGTGGCAATAAACATGGTTCCCACCAGTACCTCTGTCATGATGCTAGACTCTCAGGAATCCAAGAAATGTGGTGGAGCTAGCCACCACTTTAATCTTAGTCATGCTGTTTAGCAGATTGAAGACTCATGTGGTCAGAAAAAGATAGAGCTATACATTAAAGACTGATTCAGATGAAATAAAACCTAAAGATGGTTCCTAGTATGTTTAAAAATATACATAGGCTTGGGAGAGAAAAGAAAAACGATAGAGAAAGTCTTTAAAAAAGAAATAGAGTAGTTGAAGGTGGTGGCACATGACTTTAATTCCAGCATTCTAGAGGCAGAGGCAGGCAGATCTCTGATTTCATGGCCAGCCTTGTCTACAGATTGAGTTCCAGGACATCCAAAGATACATAGAGAAACCCTGTCTTACGAAACCCCCCAAAATAAAAATAAAAGTAAAAGAAATAGAGTAATAAAAATACCATGTAAAGATGGAATGTATGTTATTGTTTGATTGCTGAGAAAGTAGCAAGATCTGCTAAAAAGACATTTGGTTATAAATGCTGCTGGATTAATTCAACCTATATATTTTGAAAATGCCTTGACTTCAAAATTTAAGTCTTTTAGCAGGACATGTAACTTTGGAAAAGTTGTTCTACTTTTGTTTCCAGAGAAGATGAAAAGCTGTGCATTCCTTCCAGACTAATATGGCCCAGGTGATCCAACATCCAAAATAGCTGTGTTGTTGCAGCCATGCAGACTACTACATCCTAAATTTGGCCAGGTTTCTGGGTTTTCTCAGGATCCTCATGGGACTGACAGTGCCCTCATTCAGCAGGAAGCAGTTTTGAGAGAACAATGGCCAAATACCCTACTATTGTTTATAAATGTTTGTTTTCATTTAACTGGGTTGGTTATAAATGGTTTATGATCACAGTCAACCTCTTTCTAAAGAAAAAATGGAATATGATATAGAAATGAATACATTGGTATGGATTTTGGTTTTATTAATACAAATTTAAGGTCAATTTTGTTATATGTCTATTTCTACTCTTGTATAGGTATTGGATTTATACAGCTCATTAAATGTCCAAAGCTACACAGAGAAACCCTGTCTTGAAAAACCAAAAAAAAACCAAACAAATAAAAATGAATGTAATCAAATACAGATTATGTCACCGATATAATCAAAGCTATGTTTTTTAGGTTTTCTAGATTCACAGAGGTGTATTTCAAATGGATAGGTATTCTTCAACAACTTTCTGAAGCCTAAAGATTATGGCATTTAAAATGGTTTATTAGGGTTTTTCATGGCAATGAGACACAACTCCTCCTGCCAACACCAATTATGTCAGAAAGGAAGATGGGCATCGAAGAAACTCATTATGGAGTTTGCCTTCAATGTGGCAAAACTGGCCTATTGGGCAAAAAACTGCCCTTGTCTCATCTGCTGACAGTAAGCATACTGTCCAAAGTGGACAAGCAGGTTACAAAGAAAGTGACTGTTGAACTTGCCAAGAGACAGGATAGTCCTTCAGGGTTCCTGCTTTACATAAGA